AACGTAAGTTCCCTGCTCATAGAGCCCACAACTTCTGCATGAAGCTGGTCTACCATATATCAAACATGCACCCAATTCTAGACTTGATTCAGAAAGAATTGATTTTCCAGAACGTCACTGTGTGAAAGGGTCTTTGCTTCCTGCTTATTTGCAGTGTCTGGCAGAAATAGGCCGGAGTAATTAGGAACTGGATGCTGACGAGGGAGGAAAATAAAGTCATCCCTGGGAGGCTCTGAAACCCAACGGCAGGGATGTCTTCCGGGAAGGTGGGTATAAAAAGAAGAAAAAGCCTCCGGAGTGATTGTCAAGTCATCGAAGCTGACCCAGCGATCCACTTGCACATAAAATATGTAACCTGGCTCATGTTAGGTATCAGTGTGCTGTGACTGTAGGAGTTTGGAGGGCAGTGCTGTAGGGATTAGATGGACTATCGCAAAGTTCTGGGGGAAACTTCGTCACACACAGGTGGTTTCTACCATGTGTCCTCGACAGAAACAGACAACTACAACGGAAGGAGAATTAGGCACGAATAGCACTGCTGCTCATGATTTCCCTCAGTGAGCGGATGCCCCAGGGTGGCATCAGGAGGTGGAAGGGCCGAACTGGCGGTCTCTAAGAGGGTCTTCTCTTCCTCCATGCCTCTGGTGGGGTCAGCATCGGGTACCCTGCGTGTGTAAAGGGAACCATTCTTCATCAACAGGACCCAGCACTTACTGTGCAACCCAGCAAGCCCACTTCGAGGGATGGCCCTAGAGCAGCGGTCGGCAAACTGCGGCTCGGGAGCCACATTCTCTGTTGACTAACGAGTTTTCCGATCACTGTCCTAGAGAGGAGAATACTAATGCCTCATAAAAATCTCTACCTGAACGTGTTTAGTCCCTTGGTGCATCAACCTAAACTGAGAATAACCCAGATGCCCCCCCCCCCCCCCCGCCCCAAGGTTGAATGGCTAATAACAGAGTCACTAGGTGGAGGCCAACCTCAGCTGGTGCTTGACGAAGGAGGCGACAGGCCGTGGTCATGTTGAGCAAGCTAGGGGTGTAAGGGACAGCTTGCATGTTGAATCATCCTAAACCTTAGAGGACTAAACCAGCAACAATGGTGTGTTTTGCTCAGGAACCTTCAGTTTTTTTGACAGGTCTGGATGGAAACAGCTTGCCTCTGCTCTACGTGGTGGTGTCAGTGGCTTTAACGGAGGCAGAGGCCCGACTTCCAAGATGGCTCCCTCGCAAGGTGGCTGGCATGTTGGTACTGGCTCTGGCTTCCTCTCCACATGGGCCTCTCCTTGGGTGGGTTGGGCTTCCTCCTGGCATGGTGGCTGGCTTCCAAGAGTAGGTATCCCGAGAAGCAGGCAGTGGATGCTCCCAGTTTCTTACGTCCCAGATCCAGAAGCTAGCTCTGTGTCACTCCGCCTGCCATGTTCTCTTGGTCAGGCAGTCATGGCGCCCAGATTGAGAGCAGGTGATATGGACCACATCTGAGTGGCAGGAGTGTCAGAGGATTGGGGGGACAGATTTAAAAACCATCACATATGTCATCTACCTTCTGCCCTGCCGGAGATGTGGACCCCCGAGGAAGAGGTACCTGAATGGCTGCATGAGGGAAGGGACAGCCACACCGGAAATCATCTTGCCTGCACCTGGCAAGGCTGTTCACATCACTCTTTCCTCCTCTCACAGTCCCCTACCCAACCTTGGCCCCAAGCACCTTGTGGGACTCCAATGTGAGCATGATTGGGGAGCTTCCTGTAGGGAACAAAAGTTTACAAAACTCTACAGTCATGGAAGGCACTATCATATATCTTATTCCTCCTCCTCCTGGAAGCTACATTTTGGTGACTTGTTAAGCATAGTAGTGACTGAATATAGATATTTTGGGAGTGACCTAAAAGTCTTCTCTATTTTGACAGAGGTGGAGGGTTGGTTTGAAACGAAGGAATGAACTGAAAGGAATACACGTGTGCTGGGAGTAGGGCCCTGGACACAGAAGAGTAAGAGGTACACATTCACACTATGGTTTCAGTGGCCAGTAATGTCTTCCCCTATCTCCCTGTCCAGAGAGAGCTGTGCTTTAAGAGCCGTTGCTTACCCAGGGTGGCAGACACGCCACAGAAATGAATCTCTAAACTTTCAGACCCCCCAATGAGTCACTGATACTAAGTTTTGCTATTGCTAGGTACTGTTTCCTTTGTTTGAGCACATAGATCTATGGTCGGCAAACTGCGGCTCCCGAGCCACATGCGGCTCTTTGGCCCCTTGAATGTGGCTCTTCCACAAAATACCACGGCCTGGGAGAGTCTATTTTGAAGAAGTGGCATTAGAAGAAGTTTAAAAAATTTGGCTCTCAAAAGAAATTTCAACCGTTGTCCTGTTGATATTTGGCTCTGTTGACTCATGAGTTTGCCGACCACGGACATAGATGATCTGCCTCGAGCTGCATCAGACCCTGAGAGGCAAGCACAGTGTCCTTTGGGGGTGAACGTGGGCAGAGACCTCAAGTTCAGATTGAAACATTAACTCAACGTTTTAAAATGGGAGAGTTTCTCTAAGGCTCCTCCGCACACTTCCACCACCACCACCATCTGCCCCAACCTTGCCTAAGTCTTTCTTACTCACCTTAGCAATTCTCTCCTCCTTTTCCCCCTGCTGTCAGAGAACCTGTCCTACATCAAAGAAATTAAATCATACTCAAGTGGTAGTGACTACCCGGGGCTTAGTTTGTTGCCCTTCTCATGGAGATATATTTGTGGTTTCCAAGGAGATGCTCAGCTAGAGCGATTCTATTAAAAATAAATAAACAAAAGAATCTCTCATGCTAGACCTTACCTCACAGGAGAGCAGGAATGAGAGTTTTTTTGAGGAAGGGGTTTCTTCTTGGAGATCCTCAGACACTCAGTCCTTCTTAGGAAATAAGTGGCTTGGCTGAAATCGGTTTGGCTCAGTGGATAGAGCGTCAGCCTGCGGACTGTAAGGTCCCGGGTTCGATTCTTGTCAAAGGCATGTACCTTGGTTGAGGGCACATCCCTGGGGGCCGGGGGGGTGGGTGGTGGTGCAAGAGGCAACTGATCAATGATTCTCTCTCATCGATGTTTCTCTCTATCCCTCTTCCTCTCTGTAAAAAAGAATCAATAAAATATATTAAAAAAAAAAAAAAAAAGAAAGAAAGAAAGAAAGAGAGTGGCTTGGCGAGCCTCTGGGTTATTTCCAGCTCTATTCCTGGGGTAGCCGTGCTCAGCTCACCACGGTTACCTGGTCCCTGAGACTTAGGGGCCTCCCATGTCCACTTTTCTTCTGCTCCGTTGAAGCAGATGCCAGCTGGCTCGCCTCTTTGCAGTTCAATATGCAGCCTCTGTACAAATCAGCTATTAAATCTGCAGAACGAGAGTATTTTACAAGTAATCAGTCCATGCAGATTGCACATAAATCATGTCTGCTCTGGCCCTTTGGACGCTAATGTTCCCTTATTAAGGCATAAGTAAGCCTTCCTGTTCTCATCCATCCTCCCAGACTTTTTTTTTTTAATTACTGAAAAGTATAGCCTGCTTGTCGCTACACCACCCTCTCTCCCACCACCACCACCATCGCCCCCACTCCCCACCCCACCTTTTTTGAGCTTTATTTTGTTTTTCTGGAGCTTGCCAAATTGCCTTAGGAAGCTGGGCACCTCATGAATGGATTGAGCAAAAGGAAGTTCTTATCTCTGAAAGGAAGCGGTTACCACGTTTCTGTTTGTGATATTCTTGGCCAGTTAAAATTTCTGTGAAATATGTTCTGATGGCAGCACCAGTACCCCAGGGAGCGGGGGAGTATTGGTCATGCTCAGTGCACAAAAAGGAAAATATCTTCCACTGAAGTCTTGGTGGGGAGGGCGGGGGAGGGGGGGGGGAGAGGATAAAAATGTCTTTTCATGAATGTCATTCTGCCCAAACACACAGAGAACCTTGCTTTCTTTTCACAGAAGACTGAAAGCTCGGCCACCCTAATATGCACATTATTTTAACATTTTCCCATTTTCTTTTCAAACTGTAGCTACACATCTCCACTCTAATCGACGTGGGTTTCTGCTTCCAATTTCGCTGGCCCTGCTATTAGTGTTCAGCCAGTTTTTCTTTTGGTCTGAAATGACTTTCTAAGAACGTGGAAGCAAGGTATTATTCCTGTGGTTTGGTCTTAAAAAAAAAAAGAGAAAAATCCTGGGCCTTTACACGAGGCCCATAAAAAACACTACCTTCCCCATGTAGAGATGTTTTATGAATATAAATTCCTGTCTAAATAATTTCTGCCCAGAGTAGGAAAGACTTTGGAGTTTGGAAATGATGACAACAACGTATTATTTTCTCCTAGCAAGCTCAGCGAAGGTGACACATCTCTCTTGTGGATTTTTTTTTTTTTTCTTTTCGTTCTGATGGGCTGACACCATAATGCACCGTATTGCTTTTCAGATCCTGATTTAAAATCACGTACTCGAATCATAGTGGAACTGAGGCACTGTGAGGTATTATTTTCCTCAGAGAGGGGGAAAAAGATAGAGAGCAGGTAGGCTTTGGTGTCATTTCATAAATCACAGGGTGGCTGGTGTTGATATCTTAACAGAAAGAGGAGCCAGCCCCAGTACTGAGTGCAGGGTCTCCAGTGTTTGGGTCATTATTAAACTAGAGGCCTGGTACACGAATTCATGTACCAGTGGGGTCTGGCTGGCCCACCCCTATCGGCTGGCCCTGCCCCCAATCAAGATGGAGGAGGCCGATTGGGGGTGGAGCCGGCGGTGGGAGAGGGGCACAGGAGGTTGGCTGGCCAGCCCTGCCCCCTGGTTGAACTCTCGGTCGAAGGAACAATTTGCATATTTGCCTTTTATCATATCGGATTATATTCTATATTTCATAAAGGCCCAGGTGCTTTATGTCGTCTTCAGGGAGATGATGGGGCCTGTTGTACTATGGTGTTTAAAAATAAAATCTCAACCCCCACTTCTTTACTTCCCTCTTGTTGGCAGCTGCTGAGATGGGTTGCCGATTAAACAAGTTGGAGAAACGCGATGACAAACGGCCTGGAAATATCTATTCAACGTTGAAGAGGCCTCAGGTGGAAACCAAGATAGACGTGTCCTACGAATACCGCTTCCTGGAGTTCACGACCCTGAGTGCCGGTGAGTACAGCCACCCCGCGCTCTGGGGACGGATGCACTCCGCCCTTGGCTGGGTCTGCAGCTAAGGCTGCCCCGTCAGTGAAGGGTGAGGTGGGGGAGGAGATGAATGACAAGGACATACTAAGAGGGAAGGCTGTGGGAAACTCTAAAGGGTTGAGTTGGCCTGCCCAAAGGGGATTGCTTACAGAAATCCATAATCTTTTGTGAAACCCTTTCACATTGTAAAAGATAGTAACTAATTAACATGATAATCAATTAAAACCATACATGCGCCGACTGGTATACACGCGTGGGTTGAACTTGGCCCAAGGGCCAAGCAGTGTGCAGACCCTGCTTAGTGCCAAGCCGTGTAGGAAAGGAAAATGTGCCTCGTCTCTCCTCATACTGATGTGCCCATCCAACCCAAGTCACCTGCCCACGGTTCCCCATCTTTGAAGAGTGCTTGTCTGCCTGGGCTCTGCCTCACCTGACCCGAGGGTGTCCAGGTCACCTCCCACCAGCGGCCTCCCCGGGGCCCCGAGTGGCTGGCAGGTGCTGGTCCGTGGTTTCCTCCCGGAGCACTTAGCACTTGCTGAGCGCCGAGCACTGACCGTGCGGAGTGTCGGCTGGCGCTGCAGGGCAAGAGTTTCCGGGAGCCTCTTCCTTGGAGGCAGGACAGCCCATACACACGAGGTGAAAACTCAGCACGTCATCATGCAAGTTGGAAAACATGTAAAGTGTGTTTTCAGAAGAGGAAGGAAATATTTCTCCTTATGGGATGGGGGTGGGGGTGGGCTAAGGGCCATCCCTGGATGTTGTGAGCATAAACCAGGTGCTACAAAACTAAAGCGTCTTCAGACACTTCCTCCCTGGGTTTCTGAGTGTATTTTAAGCTTCTGGTAACAAAAAAGAGAATTAGTGGGACAAGGCCTCCTGTGGTGGGACAAGCCCTGGCCCTGCTCTGGAATCGCTGGGCCAATCGCTAGGCCTGCAACATCCTCAGCTATCAAATGAGCACATGAATGTCTACCTCAAGGCAGCTGCGACGGTTAGGAGAGGGAAAATGTGTGAAGCTCTTAGCACGATGTCTGGCACATAGTAGGACTACTAGTATTAGTAGTAGAACTACAAGTATTACTACCACTCCTCCACCACCCCCCCACCACTGTCTCCCTTACCTTACCTTCCTCTCCTCTTGTCCTCCCGCTCACTTTCTTCCCTTCTTCCCCTCCTCCTTCCCCACTATTCCTGCTGCCACCTTCTCCCAGCTGAAGCTCCTTCTGTTTCCCAAGCCCTGAGAAAGATGGACAACAGGGCATCTCTGTGTACCCCTTCAAGTCCCCCGAACGGAACCCAGCAACGTCCTCATTGGGTTGCTTTCCACTGGCCTCTTAAATAGCCAGACTTGTCACCTTAGTCCCTGTGACCATGCCTTCCCCTCACCCAAAGTTCCCATTCCATCACCCCAGCCTACTTAAAACTACTCCTAGAAATTCTAGAAATGCTTATAATAGAGCTAATGTGGCCCAAGCAAGTCCAAACACAAAATTATTTGGGACATCTAGTCAACCATTATTTGTTCAATGTCTATTTGAGTGCCCACAACATTCTAGGCATTGTAGAATGGTTAAGGAAAACACACACACACACACACACACACACACACACACACACACACACACACAAGCATGTACAGGGAGAAAGATCGGAAGGAAATGAACAGAGATGTTAAAAATTGATGGCCAGGGTATTGATATTATGGAGCGATTCTTTTTTCCCCCTTTTCCTGTATTTTTTTTGCATTGCAGTGTATTTCCTCTGCTATTAAGAAGAGTAATTTTTGCTGACCTCCTCAGTCTGCCCACTGCTTCCCCACTCATCATCTGAATCACTTCCCTAATCTGTCTCTGCTTCCTTATGCTCGTCCTAGCACCCACACTATATTTTCTTTGATTGAATTACCTCTTTTTCTGATTATAAAATGAACATGTGCCCAATTATACAATGTTAGGGGGGGGAAAAAAAAACATTAGAAAAATCCCAACTGGTCTCTGTGCTTCTGCCCTTGTCCCCCTACACATCATGTCACCCTTCTGCTCAGAGTCCTATCGTGGCTCCCCCAACCCCGAGTGACCCCAGCCTTCCTCTGCCCTCATGCTCCTGCCGTGTGTTCTGCCTGTCCTGCTTGTGCAGCCTTGCTGGTTCCCGAAGCCCCCAGGCCTCCTCCGGGCTTCTTGCACTGCCTGTTTCCTCCACCTGAAAGTCCTCCCACATACACACTTCACTCAAACTCTGAACCTCCTTCTCCGTGGACTTTTCCCGGACCGCCTACTTAAAATTTCCACCTACCCTCCAGCTCCCCATCCCTTCCTCTCCTTGATTTTCTCCGTAACATTTCTTACCTTCTTTTGTGCCGCACGTTTTGCTTATTGTTATTTGTGTCCTTATTTGTCGTCATTGGGAGGTGAAAAGCCTTCTAATGAGTACAGGGCAGGGACGGTGGCTGTTTGATCCTCGGCTATATCTTAGTACTTAATACAAGGCCTGGCACATGGTAGATATTAATACCTATTTGTCATCGAAACCGGTTTGGCTCAGTGGATAGAGCGTCAGCCCGAGGACTGAAAGGTCCCAGGTTGGATTCTGGGGAGGTGTGCAGGAGGCAGCTGATGATGATTCTCTCTCATCAATGTTTCTAACTCTCTATCCCTCTTTCTTCCTCTCTGTAAAAAATCAATAAAATATATTTTTAAAAAATACGTATTTGTCGAATGAATGCTCAGTGTATATTTTTGAGTTGTGCTTTTTTTTTTTTTGCAACTGAACATTGTAGACTGAGGCATACCCCTTTGTCATTCCCTATCTTCCCAAAATAATGATTGAATGGCTGTACATGATTTAATCACTCAGCATTCCATAATTTATGTAGCAGTCCCCCTTTTATTGGACACTTAAGTTATTTTGGGCTTTTGAGCTAATATAAATAATGCTGCGATAAGCCGTGCTGGACATAAATCTTAGTGCACATTTCTGATTATTTCCTCAGGAATTACTGAGTTGAAAGATACGCATGTCGGGGATCTTGACAAATTGCTAATTGGCCCTCCAGCTAGGACCTGTTTGTGTGAAACACAAACCTGATCCTGCCGATCCCTGTGGCTGGTTCCCCTGGATGAATGAGATGGAGCTTCCTGCCGGTGCTCAGGGCTCTTCCCAGCGTGGCCTGGTCCTTTGCGGACCCTCCCCAACTCATCTCTTGGCGGTCGTGTGCTGTGGCCCTTGACCTCGCCTGTTTCCCTCCACCCCCTGCCCTTGCCCAGGACCCTCACTTCCCAGCTTCCCGATTAGCACAGGACTGACCCCACCACTCCTGGAACTGTTTCTTTTTCTTCCTTAAAAAAAAAAAAAAATATATATATATATATATATATATATATATATATATATATATTGACTTTTTTACAGAGAGGAAGGGAGAGGGATAGAGAGCTAGAAACATCGATAAGAGAGAATCATCGATCAGCTGCCTCCTGCACATCCCCCACCGGGGATGTGCCCACAACCAAGGTACATGCCCTTGACCGGAATCGAACCTGGGACCTTTCAGTCCGCAGGCCGAAGCTCTGTCCACTTAAGCCAAACCGGTTTTGGCATGGAATTGTTTCTTCTTGACATCCATTCAGTCGGAATTACTCCTTCTCCACACCAATAGTTTGTCAGTACCATCCTCGGACACCTGATTACATCATAGATTATACTTATTTGTGTTTCCTTGAGAGCAAAGACCAAGCCTTGCTCATCTTTCCACTCTTCCTTCTTCATGCTTCCTGAAGAACATGCTCTGAATAGTGGCGAACCTTCTAGCAAACCTTCCGAGTAGAAAGGCTGCGTGTGCTGGCTCCTTTCCCTGGCAGCCTCTCCAGTTCTTTCTCAGAAGTCCTAATGGGATCGTTCGTGATTGCTCCAGAACGGAGCCAACATTGCTTGAGAGCCTACTATGTGCCAAGTCCTGTGAGGGGGCATTGCGTTCCTCCTCTGACTTTCCCCTGACTTTTCAACTTTGCTGCAGGGTTGTGTGAGGCCGGTGAAACCTTCATCTCCTCAAGATGCGGAACCTTCCCATCGCCCCAAAGGGGTGTGCTCCTGCTCCTTGGTAATCCTTTGTGCAACCCTTTTGTCCCCAGACAACCGGTCCTCTGCTCTGTCACTGATTCTATTTATACAACTTTCTAGTCTGGCTTTTCCCATTCCGCTGACTTATTTTGAGATTCACTTATGTTGTTTGGTGTGTCCGTAGTTCACTCCTAAGTTACCACTGAGTTGTATTCTCATATATGGATGTACCACAGTTTGTTTTGCTCCTCACCCATGGATAGACATTTGGGTCATTTCCATTTTGGGGTGATTACAAATGAAATGCTGTGAACATTTGTCTTTGTGTGGCTTCTTAAGTCATTCTATCCTCACAGTATCCCAGTAAGGTATTTAGTTACTTATGCCTTTTTTTTTTTTTTTTCCTTTTTTTCTTTTTTTGTGAACGAGGAAACACTTAGGTTAAATAAGTAACATTTCCAAAGGTGCAGTGCTAGGAAGTGACTGGGGCAGAATTGGAACCTAGATCTCTTGGGTATCAAAACTTTTTTTAAAAAAATATATTTTATTGATTTTTTTTACAGAGAGAAAGGGAGGGGGATAGAGAGTTAGAAACATCAATGGGAGAGAAACATTGATTAGCTGCCTCCTGCACATCTTCCACAGGGAATGTGCCTGCAACCAAGGTATATGCCCTTGACTGGAATCAAACCCGGGACCTTTCAGTTCGCAGGACGATGCTCTATCCACTGAGCCAAACCAGTTAGGCAGGCATCAAAACTCTTGAATCTTACAAACTTCAGGGTGCTAGATAAATAGGCGTTAACACCAGTTAGAACATTCTTGTTAGGAAACCTGTGTTATCATGGAGAGAGATGTAAAAATGTTCCCCTTCCATAAGGTTTTGGCCGGAGAAGAGTTTTAAGTAG